CAACAATCCAAGCCAAAAAAAGTTTCTGGGATCTATGAAGAGTGCTGAACCCTTCTCTTATTGCAAGACGATGGGACGCATATTGCGATTGCGTTAACTTATTACGAACCGCTGTGGCGTGATTTCCTTCGTGAGCCATGTTTCGATGCCACGCCTCGTCGCCAAATGGAAAGAGAAGAGGATATGCCATAGGGTCCACACATGAGTGCTGGCATTCAACACTTCTAAGTCCACCACCAACAGGGTATACAATAAGATCCCTTTCGCCAACGGGACATCCGTCGTCTGCTTTAAAAACTGCTGCAACATCATTTGCTATAGGCAAATTGAAAAGGCGTTGATTACAACTTCTATCAGCGAAAACAATAGGGGTATTCTCTGAGTCTTGCAAAGCCCTTGCACGGTGCACAGATTGCACGGTAAAAACCGGTTTTCGTATGGGACAGCTTTTCAAACCGTACAATCCGTGCACCTTGCAAGGGCTTTGCAAAACTCAGAGAATACCCCTAATCATTCTCAGATTCTTATGTTGCGATGGTTGCAGTTGTTCCATAACAGTTTTTACACTTCGGAATATTTGCGAAAATGGATTATGTTCCTGAAGGTACTCCGACAGCTGTAACATACTACCAAGATCACAGTCCTTGATTTCTTCCTCTAATTCTAGTAGCTTCTTCGGTGTCATACATATAAATTTGAGCATAAACTGGTCGCCTTTCTGAGTTTGGCTTCAAAGTTCCAATACGATGGTGTACATGGCCATTAATTTTATAATAATAAGGCCCATCGGAGCTACATTTTTCAACTACTGTACTTGAACTCATCATTGAAAAAGCAGCATTAAAAGAACGAATATTTTGTTGGTAATTTTTTGATTTTTCATCATTTCGGACTAACAGGTTTTTAAGTAATGGCGATTGAACATATGGCGAAAGTTTAGCTTTGCCATTATGACAACATGAGCCAAGTTCGCTTTTAACTGTTGTAGTTTCAAAATGAAAGGCTCTACAATATGCACACCTTTCTCTTAGCAACCCAAGGTCATTTAAATCAGGCCGAGCAGCGCTAAGAGCTAATTTATATGTACTCGCTTGTGACCCTCTGGAAGCTTGCGAACTCCTCATTCGACTACGGTTGGTATTCCGACCAACCCTTCCAGATAAATTCCTCCGCCTTCTCTGTCGAGGCATGACTGTTTAAACAGAGATTGAAAAATCTTTGAAATCACATTTTAATGCCGTACTTACCTGCAA